ATATATCCCAAAAAAGTTTTAATAATAACAGACTCTCTGAGTTCTCTCAAAACAATTGGAAACGTATGTTCCGACCATAAAAGAAGACAGCATTGAGGTGGTGTTTTTATGCACTCCTTAACACATTGGAATCCAAGGTAATGAAGAAGCTGACATATGTGCCAAAGAAACAATAAGTAGTGAAACTGCGAAAATAGTGAGTGAAACTTTACATGAAGATGTGAAAATGTGGGTAAAAACCAAAGTTCTAAGTGCATGGCAAAATGAATAGTAAACTTCAACATCTAAATTACGGGAAGTTAGAAAAACAGTGAAACCTTGGCCTATTAAAATATACCCGCGTTCAACACAAGTGCTAATATCGCGACTAAGAATAGGCCATACGAAAATTACACAAGAGTACCTATTAAAAAATGAAAATAATCCATATTGGAATGTATAAAACATAACAATGAAAGATAACAAAATAATCTTCCACACTCATTGTGCTCTCTTTTAGGTGAAAACTGTGATACAAAACTATTGTCAAATATTTAAACGACATTCAAATTCTCAATTTTTGTAAACCATGTAAACCCATTCCACTGCTAATAACCCACTTGGTTGATGCGGTAGTCTACTAAATAAAAAAAAAAAACAAAAAAAAAACATCTATATTACCAAAACTTACCTAGTAGTAATTCTATATTCTGTACCTCCGCAGCACTTACCAGAGCCCGATGTCTACGAGAGTGATATGCTGAAGATTAAAATGCATTTCTTTTATATCCGGCTGTTATTTTTTATTCGTATAAAATATGTATAATAATAAGTATAATTCGCTAAGTCCTATGTTCATTCTTATATGCGTCCCAAACAGGTACAATTCACTAAGTACGTATTGTTTCTGTCTCCACACATTACGTGCCTGTCAGATTCAACTCTTGCATTAGAATGTACACAAACCCTTTTTATGGTAATCGGCGATATTACCTCTGTAGCTATTAAAACATAATTTTAATAGAAAAAAAATCATTGAAACCTCGTTATCTCCTATAAGTTGTAGGAACACTTGGGTTTTACCTGTCAACCAACAATATATAAGCACATTGTCTACGATGGTTCGGGCACATTCAGTGAAGATAACTAAATAATGTATTGAAATAATAATAACTAATAACTACATTTTTTATAACAGAGAGTCAAGAAATATTCCTGTAGGAGGTATTGTGAGGAGATAGAAAGTACTCAAGAATGTACTAGATGCCAGAAAGTCCCTTTCAAAATACAAACGAAATACTATAAACTCTCTTAATAACGAATTTGGAGAGTACATTAGAAAAGGAAATGAAACGATAAGAAAACTCTTTAGGGTTCCTGGGTCACAAACCATAGAGCAGACACCGGCAATCTGGAGTCCAATTAACCTAGAAGCTCGTAAAGGAGCCAAACGGGAAGATTGATAGACCGTCAAAAAAATGGAGGATTATGATAAACTGAAATGGGCAATCAACTCATTTGAACCATACAAAACACCGAGAATTGACCGGATTTATCCAATAATGCTGCTAAGAGGACCTAATATTTTATACAGAAGACTCTGCAGCATACTTAGAAGTACTCTGGTCTTTTTATACATACCAAGAGCATAGCGAAATATTAGGGTCACTTTTCTTACCAAAATCTAGGAAAATCAGACAGGGAACGGCAAACACCCTATCACCAATAAATATAATGTCTTTCGTACTCAAGACTTGGGATATTGGTTCAAAGACCAATAAACCAGGACCAATACGCCTATAGTGTAGAAAAAATAACAAAAATAGCTCTCCATTAATTGGTAAAAAGGATGAAAACAATGGAAGACAAGAAGGAAATGTTCGGAGCTTTCTTGGACATCGATAATACCTCAATCTAATCTATCGTCAGATTTATGATACATGGATGAATCAAGGGCACATGTGTGACCTGGATTGACTTTATGCTAAGAGGGAGAATGTTGTATGCAACCATTAATGAAGAGATGATAATAGTTCGGGTTGCGAGAGGATACCCAGAGAGAGGAGTACTGTCTTCACTCCTGTGGAACCTGGTAATGGTTGGGACGATTAGGACTCAAAAATAATGGTCATAAATCCCTGGAATAGGCTGATGATCTAGTGATCATGGCACATGGTAAATACAATACTACAAAGATCTTATGCAAGAGACTTTAAACATAGTAACAACATGGTATAGAAAAGAAAGAACTAAAGATTAGTCCCAGCAATTTCACCATAATTGCATTCACGCATAGACGAAAGTTTGAGGGACCAAAACCGCTAGACCTTCGAGGTAAAATCGTCCAACTAAAGCGGGAGGTAAAGTATCTTGGGGTTACAATCGACTGGAAACTCTGGATTCTACGTTTGAAAAGAATAAAAACGAAAGCGGAAACGTCACTAGTGATGACAAGATGCTCCGTGGTAAGACTGATGATAGCATACGCAACTTTAATTTGGTGGCCAAAGATACAACAAAGAGCGACGATAACGAGATTAAGCAAGAAACAGACTCGCTTGTCTTGTAATAACGGTTTTAATGAGAACAGCTCCCCACATCAGCAATGGAAGCACTAATAGTCTTGTTTCTACTTTACTTTGTGATACAGGAAAAAGCAACATTAGGTGCTTACAGATTAAGAAGAAAAATTTTAACATTACGAGTAGATAAGGTCACATAAGTATAAAGTTAATGACAGACGACATGCTAGACATGAGAACATATCACGTAACCAAACGTTTAACACTTCATTTGAGGTTTTAGTACCAAACAGAACGAAGATCACTATGAAAGAACCCAGTGCCCAATGACAGCAATAAACCTGGTAACCAGACGGGTCAAAAACTGCGGAAGGCACTGGGGACGGAGTATTCTCCAAAAAACCTAGCTGTGTGATAGGAAGGCACGTTTCAGTATTTCAGGTTGAGAATTATGTAATATTGCAATGTGCAAGAAAAAACAATAGAAGAGCTATCGAAAATAATCAGATCCAAATTATGTCAGACATCCCTTAAGGCCATATCGAGTCAGAAAGTGAAGAGAAGAACTGAGAACACTGTCAGACCGAAATAGAGTAAAATTAATTTGGGTGTCAGGATCAGGTCAGCAAAAGATAGAGGGAAAAAAGTCGACGAACTTGCGAAGAGAGGATCAGAAGAAATACCGGAACGAAATATAAACTTTAAAGTACCACAGAGTACAGTTTCAGATTTCATAAATGACTGGGTTCGGAAAATACACAACTATTGGACGAATCTCCCAAAACAAGTACAAGGGAATAGCTTTATGGGAGGATCATGTTTAAAGAAAACAATAACTAAGGTAACAAAATGGTATTACGAATTAATATGGGTCAAATACAATAAGTCATTAGGCTTCAGTTCAGAGACTAAGTTAGACGAGCCTAGGAAGAAAGGGACATTTATAAGTACGCCCACCACAGTAATGAAGCTACTACTAGGTCCTTCTCTATTACACCTTGTGGTATACAGGTTGTTTATAAGTAGATTTGGATAGGAACTTTAAAGAAAAGGATACCTTACAATGATATTAAAAAAAATTGAAATAAAATCCGGACATTGGATAGAATATCTATTATTCATGATTCATAACTTTAGATACTTAAATACCCGAAAAGGTCAAAAGTCGAGAAGATACGAAAATACAGGACTAAACAATCTGGTATGCAGACAGTTTGAAGATGCAAAACAGTACATGAGCTTTGATTGAAAATGCGAACACAGGGTAGATCATTAGTTTAAGGGTTAAACCATAAGTCACTGACGCGCTAGTATTCCAGGCTAAAGTAACAGCTAAATGACTCTTTTAGATATAAGAGCCTCTATGGCAGCCAGCAGCCATTAAAACACTGCAAAAAGTAGTAGTACAATAAAAAGTAACTGCTAACATTCCATCTGCCTCTGGCAGAACTTAATAAGATCATTCTGGAATAGGTGCTGGGAATGTTGAGAAACGAGAAAGCATACCTCCTAGTTAGAAAGGGTGCTGAGAAAAGTTTAACTTGATCACACATGAGGTATTATTTCATATCAACATGATAAAAGGGTGCTAATGGAACAGGTAAATAGAGAACACCATGAGCTCTAGTTGAAACTTTCTGGGCTCAAAAAGTTCCAAATATTCATAGAAGGTCCATCTTAAAGCGGAAAAAATTAACTGGTAAACTTTAATAGGAAATAACTCAAGACCGTAATAAAACTTTTTATGGGACACTGCGGCCTAAGAAAACACCTATCTTATGGATATATGACGATTACCTATGTAGAAAATTCGAAGAACAGGATGAAACTCCTATTCATAATATACAAAATATCTGGAACCCGAAGAAATCGCGGAAGCACCCATCAGATATATAATTGAATAAATTATTATTATTAACCGTATGGGATAGATACTGAGAGAGGTACAATAGGCCTTGATCTTCAGTAAGAATAGACTTTAAATAACATCTTTATTCAGATAAATAAATATGTAGAACAAATAACTAAGTTTACGAAGATATTATTAAAAAATAGTGGAACAAATATATCAGTGACTTAGAAAATACAGTACGTTCAGCAGTTCATCACATTTTAAATAATATTTCATGAACTAATTTAATCACTGATATTTATTAAAATAATTACGATTTATAGTGTAATTGAGAAGTCGACGTTAGCGTTTATTTAAGGATTTACAACTCTGCAACGTAAAAGTCGACAATACCAGGTGCCCGAGCGAAAAGTTCGGATGGATATATTTCAGGTGTATTTAAAGAAAGAAAAACAGAAATGTTTGTTACCAACCATACTATACAACCCACTCTCACCTACCCCAGATCAATATTTTAAATGGCACCCTGTATATTTGAGAAAGAGCCATAAATAGCAGTGCATTCCATCGATATTACAATTTATAATTAATCAATATTTGACACAAAAAAATCCTAAATTTTCTTTTCATAATAAAGAATATCTTACTTGGCGGCGTTTTTGTCAATTCGATGGTTGTATACGGATTTCGTTCTTCTGTAAAATTAAAACTCTTCCAATTTACGTTAGGAAGTGCGGTAGAAGTTTTATCTTTAGTGAACTTATCTCTCCAACTTCCTTTCTTCCGTTTTTTTGTGGTGCGATCTAAATCGTCTTGTCGTGATGCCCATTTAAATGGTTCAGTAAAAATATCTAAGTCTCTGAGTGGTCTTGTATTTTCATCATATATTTCTGAAAATATCGTATTACTTTAGACAAAATACATTCAGATCTCTCTGAAGAAAATTTTTGCTCGTGATACCTTAATTACCTTAAATACCTTAAATACATTAATAACTACCCTCTGGAATATACTGACAATCACGCGGCGTCTCGTCGAGCACCATGATGCTAGTTGGTATTCTAAATAACAGCTTCAACGCTTGGAAATAGAGCTGGAGACAAATTCGTTTAAAACACATTGCTCATTAAAGACCGTACTTCCAAACAACTCAACGTCTAAATGTCTACTTTAGTGAGCTAAATTTACTAGACCAGTATTCACGCTGGTGCAACCACAAAAACCCCAATTTTATCATTTTAAACATCCAAATTCACAAAAATTCACACAAAATACCCAGAATGTAAATGTCCTAAAAGTCAGACTCGCTAAATATACTGTAGTTGATTATTTGGAGTGTGAGATTCTCTCACATCCTCAACTAGTCTTCCGATGTCAAACGTATTTTTGACATGAGTCGTTGGCGAGTAGATCTCCTTGGAGTATTGTGTGATTCATACTTCTTGTATTAGCTCCAATATCGAATACAAAGCAGTACAGTATGGCGTACTTCCTGCTCATTAACCCTCAAACTCTCCTTACTTGAAAGCCGTATCTTCCGAAGATGCCAACATTTATCTTCTTGGTCTAAGAACCGAAGTGAGGTCGACCTTCACCTATCTGTTTAATGGATGAAACTTTCTTTTTATTAAATAAAATATGTTTATAAATATGCCGCAAATGGGTTGCCTAAGAAAATACGGTCCAGACTATTTATTTTTTAAAGTAAAAAAAAAAAAACGTAAATTATTCCCCAGATTTTTTGACCATGCCCAAACTTTAATCAGCTCACCGCAGGATGGATTAAAGCTTAAGTTTAAAATTTAGTGTTTTTCTCTTCATTCGTTTTTGAGTTTTCATCAAAATTCGAAATTTGCACTTTTCATTAAATATCTCGAATTAGGTCCATTTTAGGGAAATCATGTATAGAAACAAAATAATAGAGAATGACATTATAAGCAACTTGTATCATGATTTCTATACTTTCCTTACCTGTACCCAAAAAGAAAAGTAAAAATTGGTCGTGACCGTATTTTCTTAGGCAACCCATTTGCGATATATTTAAAAACATATTTTATTTAATAAAAAATAACTTTTATCCATGAAAAAGATGGGTGAAGGTTGACCTTACTTACGGATCCTGAACAATCTCGCTTTCCTAATGTAGGAGTTTACGAAAACATCTCCAAAACTCCCATTATCTCGTTTCCAAATCCTCAGGAAATAATACGTATCTCGTTCTCTGAAAGTTTCAAATACTTAAGCCCAAGATAGCCTCCAAATATCTTGGTGCCTTTCTCGCTTATGTCAAGTTGGCATTGCATTGTTTCCGAAAATGGTAATATACAAATGGGCCAGAATGCGCTAGTTCAGTGATGATGTAATTATGGTTCCACTGACAACTAAAGTGACAGTAGATTTTTTGACTGCGTTTTGTTCATTTTGTTTACCTAAATTATATCGTTTTTTTCACTTTTATAAATAAATTCCTAAAGTAAGTAGATAGCATGTATCAAATATACAATCGTTTAGTTACCAATTACATACCTTTAAACTATTTTTTATGACCTGTAAACAATATTTTGAAATAAAATAAAAACAGTAAAAACGTATAGGTCAAATTTATTGATGTTCTTGTTAAAAGTTTGGTTAGAATTAAATGTCAGTGGAACCAAAATGATATCACACTGAACTAGCGCATACCTCTCGTTTGAGCTCATTGGGCCCATAGTGTTCAGCGTTTGGGCTCATACCATTTTCGAGATATGGCCTCCGAAAATATGCGATGCCATCCTTGCATATTCGATAACTCATGAACGGATTACCAGAAAGACACCAAATTTTAAACTTAAGCTTTAACCCATCCTGCGGTGAGCTGATTGGCACATCTAAGGGGGTACATAATTTTCCTAAGATTCGAAAAATTTGACAAAAAGTGTAAAATTCGAATTTTTAGCAAAATTATTTAAAGCAAAGTTGCTTGTGATGCCATTCTCTATCATTCTTGTTAAATACATGATTTCCTTAAAATAGGTCCTATTCGAGATATTTAAGGAAAAATTTCGCATTTTGAAAATAACTCTAAAACGGATAAATAGAAAAATATCAAAATTTAAACAAGATTTAATCCCTCGTGCGGTGTGCTGATTAGATTTTGGGCATAGTCGGAACATCTGGACGTACCTTATGATATATACCCGTGGTGTGAATATAGGATGGTGTGCTCGCGCGCAGGCAGCCTCCGAACTGTGACGTCAGCAACGAGTATTTCTGTCGAAAATGCATGCAGTGGTACAAGAAAATCGCAGTTTATTCTTATTCTCGCTTTTGTTATCATTTTTTAAAATTTTTTTTTTACAAGAAACGTTACTATTAGAAGTGTTACTGGTTGGATTGGATAGAGTTTTTAATTAAGTCAACTGTTTTTTACAAATTTAAATAGAAAACTAGGAAAATGTTATGGACTGTAGAGGTAAGAAGAACTATCTCTGTATACAAAAAATGTACCTCAAAATGAATAATATTAAGATGACGCTTCTGTACCAGAGGGAAAAATCCAATTATATAGTGTTAAATTCGAATTTTAAGAAAATTTTTTAGATGAAAGTTGCAATGTGATGTGATTCTCTATAATTCTTACTTTATACATGATTTCCCCTAAATAGACCGTATTCGAGATAGTTGGGAAAATGGGCAAATTTCGAATTTTGAATATAACTTCAAAACGGTTAAAGACAAGAACACCAAATTATAAAATTTTATTTATCCTGCGGTAAGCTGAATAAATTTTGGGCATAGTTGACGCATTTTGGAAAGGGAGGGTACTTTATAAGGTGTAATTTTTTACTTTAGGAAATATCTGTTATTTACGATTGGAGAAGAAAATTCTTTAAATAAAAGTTGTTTGTGATATCATTCTCTATAATTTTTATTTTAAACATGATTTCTCTAAAATGGACCATAAGGGAAAAATTAGAACATTTTTATTTTTCAGTATTTTCGTTAGCAATGAACGTATAAAAATGTTTCGAGTAAGATGTGTGTGAAAACATAATGTATTCAGTTAATCCTCTAAACATTTACAGGAGTGATACAGTAGGTTGTACAAAATCGAAAATAACTAGACATGAAGTCATGTGTTGAACACATCAGATTTTTCTTCATGGTAATTGGGTCAGGATGCCTCTCGTTTGGGCTCATTGGGCCCATAATATTCGGCGTTTGGGCTCATTGGGCCCATAATATTCGGCGTTTGGGCTCATTGGGCCCATAATATTCGGCGTTTGGGCGAGATAGGGCCTTCAAAAATATGCGATGCTATGTTGATGGCAGCATTTAAATGAGTAGGCTGGTCATACAAACCATTGGGCTAGATTCAGTGAGCAATGTGCTCAATGGACCACTAATTTGTCAATTTGTTTCGTTTGGGCTCATACCGTTTTTGAGATATATCCTCTTGACGGTCATTTTGACGGTAGAATCGAAATGATGGGCTAGTCAAAACCATTGGGCCTGATTCAGTAAGCATACTATTTTCGAGATGTAACACTTGAAATTTATTATTATTATTATTATTATTTTTTTTAATGGCACTGGATAAAACGAAAAGGCCAGACTATTGTAGTAATCGATAATTCTTTGTTTTATCCACTATTGTTACATGATTACATTATTATTATTATTATTATTATTATTATTATTATTATTATTATTATTATTATTATTATTATTATTATTATTATTATTATTATTATTATTATTATTATTATTATTATTATTATTATTATTATTATTATTATTATTATTATTATTATTATTATTATTATTATTATTATTATTATTATTATTATTATTATTATTGTTATTATTATTATTATTATTATTATTATTATTATTATTATTATTATTATTATTATTATTATTATTATTATATTTTAACTTACAGCTATCAAAATACCTGAGTTTGTAATTAATTATAAATAATATCTATTTTTTTAATTGTATGTATTTTTGTTTATTTTTTATTTTTTTTTGTATTTTTTGTTGTCTGTATTATTTGTTTTTTTTTCTTTTTTTCCTTTGTTTCTTTTTTGTTTTATCATTTATTTTATTTTTTCGTTTCAGGTTTACAATATTTGTAGGCTAGCTCAGCTACTTACAATCTTGTATGAAATCCAATTTTAGGAATTCTAATCATTTCTAACGTTTATTCCATAAATTGCAAACATTCTCTAACGACCTGTTGAACAACAGCTGTTGATAGTAAAGGTGAAATTTCTAATGCGGGTTGAGACCTTCATACTTGCAACCATAGCCATTTTGGAGATTATTTTTATTCGAAATTAGTCGCCTAGCCTGCCAATTTATGAAAAATATATAAGCAGTTTCTTAAAAATGACTTTTTTATGATGGTGCTAACTTAAGCGTACTACTATTTCGCCCCTGGCTACAAAAATACCTTATCAAATTTACTGGCTCTCTGTCGCAACCCTGCCTAAATCTTAAATGAATCCTGAATTGAACTATTAATATTTATTCAAAATAAGCTAAATTAGCTTTAAACTGTGTTTATGCTCACTGAATATGGTACACCCAACTACGAACAATTACTAGACTAATGGCAGATAAACAAACTCGCACAAATCATCCCTACCCAATTTATAGTAGCCGTCTCTTTGTAATGCGGCAGTCGATGCGAAATGTCTGTCTATCTAATATAAAAAATAATCTGATTACTTTCAATGAATTTGTTTTTGTTGGGTTTACTATATTACACACTTTAATATCTATTTTGGTTTGGAAGGTTAGGTGAAGATATATAGTAATTTACTGGTTTATACTTTCACTAAGGTTCTCTAGTAAACTTATATATTTACTTGTAATAGTATGTATCTTTAAATTTATATTTTAACTAACATACTTCGTAAATGCATAAATTGATTAGTGAATGTATCAGTAGCAAAAAAACAAAGAGGGCTCAGAACCAACCCTTGTGTAACACTAACATAAACCTATTGTTACTAGTTACCTGGGTTAATATTCTGCTGTGTGTTATCTGTTGTTACAATTAAAGATTTTTTTTCAAATGTTTTAGTAGTTTCATGAAACTTTCCGTATTTGCGTTTCCTTGTAGCCCAATATTCTGGCCAATCATCATCTTCGTGAATATATTTGCTAGTTGTTGAGTTCCTTGAATGATGTCCTGGTACCGAAGAATAATAAGTTTTTGTCCATATATCATCTATTACTTTATCATCAACTACTTCGGTAGAGGTATTAAACGAGTTACTAAAATTTTCCATACTACTTTTTTGTATATTATATTCTTTTTTGTTTTGATACTCTTCATTTTTATTTTCTTCGTCTACTTCGGTAGGGGTATTTAACGAGTTACTATAATTACCCAAACTGCTATCTTCTATATTATATTCTTTTTTATTTTGAAAGTCTTCATCTTTATTTTCACTTACTTCTGTAGGAGTACTTAAAGAGTTACTAAAATTTCTAAAATAACTATTTTTTATATATTCTTTTTTATTTTGAGAATTTTCATCTTTATTTTCGTCTGGACTTTCTTCACTTGTATCGTTTGTTATAAATTTACGTAAATAGAAAACTCGGTCGTTGTCTATTTCTGGATTAGCATTGGAAATTGGTTCTATTTTAACAAGACAATTAAATAATATTATTATGAGTATTATTTATAATCTATATTAATAATAAGATACATACCTGATTTTTCCAATTCATCTTCTGAAGTCGTTGGCAAATTTGAAAAAACATAAGTAATTTTCTTATTAAGCCTTATATCTTCCACTTCTAATGGATCATCTGTTTCATGAGAGGTTCTTAAATCTTTTATTTTTAATTCTTTCTTATCTAGTTGGGGCCAGAGTATTCCCCAAGGATTTGCCACTCTGTTTAGATGCATGATTCTTAATCCATTATTGTTAACTATTAATTTACGTTCTTTTTCTTCTAAAGGATTGTTAAATGAGTTTTGTAATGGTAAAGGAACATCGTTTACGAAGAATTTTGCATACGTAGGCCTACAAATATAGAATATCTATTAATTCAAAACATATCATTTTATTGAAAGTTGTACATACCTAAAAAACGTCTGTGACGATAAGGATATAAGCGTTTATATTTTCGTCTCTTTTTTCTTCTTAGTCTTCTTTTCTTTCTATGTTTATTTTTGAGGTATTTCCATTTTAAAATTTTTCCTAACCCACTAACCTCTTTCAATTTTTCTGGATTTACATTGGAATGTTGTACCGGAGAGGTTATATGCATTTTAGGTTCTATAAGAGTCTTGTAGATTTGAGGATCAATAGCGAAAGGATCAACAACTGCTCTCTTTCTCACTTTGTGCTTCATTCTGTACATTCCGTCGATAATATTTTGTACTTCATTTACTAGTCTGAGGTCTTTTTCCAGTTTTTCAAGTTTGCTGTCTGTCTCGTAATCCGCCGAAGATGTCATTGTATTGGCAGAGGCAGATGCTTCATCCCCTTGTGCCGAACTACCTGTAATAAAAACATATAAACTGCTGGCCACTCGAACTTACCCATACAGATTTTTAGGCAAAATTAATAGTTCAATATTTTTAACAGGAATGCAAGTTTTTGAACGCGGCTTGCAGATTTTAAGAGCTAGTTTTTTTCGGATTAAGTTGCATGACGTATATTTATGGTAGGACCATAGGTTTATTATATACGGGATGATCAATGAAGTCATGCAAAAAATCCAAAAGTTTGTATGAGTAAAATTTCCGCAAACATTTTTTTTGGTCGTTGCAATATGGTTCGTTACTAAGGTAACATCAATATCTCTAGATATTTTTGTCAGTTTTTGGATTAAGGCCCTTAGGTTTTGTACACACTACTAAACATAAAATTTGGGTAGCAAAATTTTTAAAATGCTATAACTTGACATTGAATTGACGGTTCTTGATGATTTTTGCAGATTTCAAATCCTTATTTTACGTAGATTTTCTACGATCTACGCATTTTATTTGAGGGTTGAAAATTATACATTATACCGTGTCAATAATAGACAAAAACGTAGCGTACGACGCGCTTTAAAGTTTGGCATTATTTAAGTTTTTGTAAAAACAAATTCTCACTTTAAGCTGTTTTTATTTAATGTCCTTCTCACTGTTCTGTCCAAAACTCTCACCTCAGTTTGTTGTCTCAAAGAGTCATTCAGTTTTACAGAGTTCTTTGTCCACCCCCATGCCCAAATTTGGAATTAAAACCTCTTAACATTATTTTAGAAATAATCTGACACATTACAATGTTATAATTTTGTAAATTTTAATTAATATGAGGCGTTTAAACACGGCAGAAAGGGAAAATTGCATTCGACTTCTCAACGAAGAAATGTCAAAACAGCAAATTGCGCACATTTACAATGTCAGTCGAAAGACAATTCATAATTTGAACCGTCGCACAGTGTGTCGCCCAATGGACAAAAATTGGATTTCGACATCGGGTAAAAATCATATAATATACATCTAGGCTTAAAGAGTAATAACTAATTAATTTTAAACCACCATATTTACAGTACGCACAAAGTTACAGAGGTGGCTATGGTAATCGCTGAAACAATCGTCAACTTATAAAATAGTGTTATCAGTGCAAGCTCTGTCTTGTCGTTTTCTAAAAAAAATAATTAAATTAAAATTTTGGTTTGCTTATTTAAAACTTGTTTTAAAAGTGCTAAATGTTATAAGGTAAGTACTTTTTAAAGCAAAATTATAGTTGTAAGTTATAGATCAAAAATATTTAAAAATAATTATTTTTAAAGTTTAGGATAACTTTAGAAAAAAAAGATTAGTTTGGTCCCTTGAAATATATTATTTTGAAGTAGCTTATATCTTTGCAAACAAGTTGATACATCACTTAAATTGCTCACATTTGCACAAGTAATTTAATTTTTTATTTTTAGTTGCTGATATGGCTTTAAAAAACAGCGATCTTTTTGAAATATGGATTTCAACAAAAAAACTTAAAAGGCAGGCAGAAGTTTCGAAGAAAATTCTAAGTTCTTTAAATTTATCTGACAATTCTGACGATATCGAAAAAGAATGTGATAAAGGTGTCACACTTTTTAGACAAAAAATGGCAGAAATCTGCACGTATTCGGGATCGTTTTTTGAAAGACCATGGAGAATGGCTTAAACAAGAAATATACACGACGGACACCTTATACGGAGAGCAATAGAGCCCAAAACTCTCATATTTCTAAAGCAAACCGTGGGTGTCCTCAATTATCTTTTCAAGAAAGCAGTATTAAAACTAAAAATTACACTATGGAGGAGCTATTTTTTGCCACTCAACAATCATCACGTTTGCGCTCTTCGGGATCAGAAGGTAAATCTAAGATTTTATCATCAGAACAGGCACTCGCGCTGTATTTAGATTTAAATTTAACAGAACGAAAATACAACCTTTTCGTTCTGTTGTAAATAACTTACACCCAAACTGTTTTCCTCGAATAGCTATCATTAGGGAGTATAGAATTCAGCTAATACCAAGACATATCGATGTTCCTGAGGGCGGTGCAGAAGTAAATCTACAAGACTTACTAAATATCACAGTAGAAAGTATATTAAAAACTGTCGAAGATTTTTCTTGCTTATCTGACGATGCATCACTAGAATTGTTTTGCAAATACGGGTTTAATGGAAGTTCTGGGCATAGCACTTACAAAAAAATGTTTAAAAACCCCGAAATGACCAATAAATATTTATTTCTAGTAGCTTTATCATCCATTCAACTAATTAATAAAATAACTGGCCAAGTTATTTGGGTCCCAGAACTTCATCAGTCTTTTTTTGCAGGCCAATTAAATTTATATCCGCCAAAGAAACATCAAAATTAATTTTGGAGGAAGAAGCTAAAATTAAAAGTAACATAAAAAATTTATCAGATTTTGAAATAGTGTTCAAGGAAAAACGGCTTCATGTTAATTACACTTTATTAATGACAATGTTAGATGGTAGTACCATTAATACTTTGTCAAGTATCAATGCGACACAAAAATGTTTTATCTGCGAAGCTTCCCCAAAGGAAATGAATTTAGAGTCAGTCACTAAAAAACCTGTTAAAATTGAGAAGAACTTCAATTTTGGATTATCCTTGAGTGTTTGTTACACCTATCTTATCGACTACCATTAAAAATTTGACAGGTTAGAGGATCTGAAAACAAAAAAATCTACGAAGATCGTAAAAAATGTATTCAAAACCAAGATGGGGTTGGTAGTCGATAAACCAAAACCGGGTTACAGATCCACGAATGACGGTAACACAGCAAGAAGGTTTTTTAATAACGCTGATCTTAGTTCCGCAATAACAGGTATCAACAAAGAGCTAATATTAAAATTTTCCATTATTTTACGAACAATTGCTAGCGGTAAGAAAATTAATTTAATCCAATTTGACCGGTTACTTCTTGAGACTAGATTACTCTACTTACAACTCTACGATTGGTACTATATGCCTAGTAGTGTGAATAAGCTATTAGTTCACAGAAAAGATATAATTCAGCATTTTGACCTTCCGATTGGCCAGTTAGCTGAAGGCGCCTTAGAGGCTAAACACACGTAAATTTCGTCTGTTTCATTCAAGAAAATCTTGAAGAGTTAACACAAGCACATATATAATGACCTCATTACTAATAACTTCTGACCCATTTGTATCATCTTTAAGAATAAATAGTTTCAGACACAATGAAAATCTCAGTGGTATTACCGAATACATAATCGATTCGCCTGTAATAGATCATAAGAACTTAGATTTACCTATGATCCTAATAGACATAAGCGGTGACGAAAATGAATCTTCAGATAGCGATAGTGAATAAACGTATATAGTTTCTTTTAATTTATCAATGTTTCTTAGTTCTATTTCTTTATAATTTGTTATGTATTATTATTAAATTTAAATAAATATAAATAAAAAGTAGATATTTTTCAAGTTATAGATGTCTAATCTTTAAAAATTTATGTATGTACAAATACAAAGTTATAAGTATTTAATTTCTTAAAAAAATATTTATTTGGAACACCTTGTATGTCTGATATCATATTTTTTTTCTTTTGTACATTAATAATAGTCTGTCATATAAATATATCCAAATTTTTTCCAAAACTATTGGTGGTTTAGGACTGAGGATTTTTGTCCAGGTAGATCTATACCGCGACGCACTGTGCGTCGTCGCGTCGAAACTAGTGATGGGTAAATTTCCGGGAACCAAGTGTTCGGGAAATTCCCGGGAAGTTTTCCCGGGAATTTCTCCGGGAATTTCCCCAAGAATTCCCGATACATTTTTGTGAATTTCAGCTTATTTTCTATTCCATCTATTCATTACGCAAGACGCAATCAAGATAAAAATTAAATTAAAATATCCATTTTTTTTTTTGAAAACAACTCATTAAATAAAAAATTGAATCTAAATATCCTTTTCTGTTAAAAAAAAAAGTTTTCTTTGGAAACAAATTTAAAAAAGATATCCTTTAACTAAAAAAAAACACAAATAAAATATCTGCCTAGTAGAATATAAAACTGTTGAGTATTATGAAAGGAAGGGATAAGTAGATGAAGGAATTATGTAACATTTTTATGTTGATTAAGAATTAATTAAGTTCATATATGTCTTGTCTTGGTCTGGTCTTGTACATCTAATTAGTTGATAAACACACTTACTAACTCAAAAAAACGCATGTTAAAGACATTTTTCACTAAAAATGCCAATGAATCTAATTAAAAAGTTAATTGCTCAAAAACTATTTTTTATAACATAATCCCTTTATCCACTTACCTCTTCAAAGTATGTAAAAACAAAACTAAACTTCAGTTTCTGAGCTATTAACCTCATCGGTCACGTCTTCCTCGTCAGAATCAGAGTCCTGATAAGGAATTTCTTCGTCCTCCGAAGAAGTTTCTGTCTCCGTCTCTGTCTCTGGCTCAAAATTTACTGGTGATTTTGAAAGGCCTGAAGGTCCAGGTATCTCTGCTTCCGGCACTATCATGTTGGAATGCTGAACACTTTCAGTTACTTGAGTCAAACTGGAAATAGACGGACACTTGACAAATCGTGGTACATCCTGTACAGCTGTCTTTGTTACGCGTTCGCCAGTAATGGGCGATGTACGATAATTTTATTGCACGCAGAGTTGTTAGCTTGTTTCATTTCTTCATTTGATCTGCAGAAAATGTGAAAAAAAGTTCGCTCAGTCGAAGCTGAAGTAGCAGGAACAGAAAGAATTTTTACTGCCACTTTTGATAGCTGATTGTTCTGTCCAATAATTCCCTTCCACCAAGCGACAGGTGTTACATTCTGTGAAGCAGTCCAAATAAAATCTTTCGCCCACATACCTTCGTGCGCTCTATAATTGGAAATTTCACCAAGCTTATTGGAGAAATGGCATCATCAGAGAAATGTGAACTTCTTGCGAAGCTAACTAAGTGTTTAATGGCATCGAGTTGTTCTTCAGCAATTAAGTAGCAACCTTGCGCCTTTGTATCTAGTAGACAAGATCCTTTATGGATAGACGTAAACGCATAAGCTTTTCTTTCCAAATATTTATCCATAAAAATGTTTTCCTCATTTTTCTGTAACATTGAGAGCGGTAAGTTTTTCGCTAAACTTTCTTGAATTTCACTGAATAGAAAAATTCCCGTTTTTTCGCCGGGAATTAGGGTTTGGGGAAATTCCCGGGAATTTTCCCGTTTCCAATGGAAATTCCCCGGGGAAATTTCCCAGCTACCCATCACTAGTCGAAACTACTGGTGATCATAATTATGAGCATGGGGGTGGATATACAGAAAAAAATAAACCAAAAAATCGAAAGAATTTTAATGAGAGAAACTATGCAGATTAGAACAAAGAATTCTAGAAAACTAAATAACTCTTCAAGGCAACAAACTGGGGTGAGAGTTTTGGACAGAACAGTGAGAACAACATTAAATAAAAACAACTTGGGGAGAGAATTTTTTTTTAACAACATAATGCCAAACATTTTAAATTATAGGACGAGCAAAATGTGTGTGGTTATTATAACACCATAGAGCGAATAGGCGGACATGGGCAAATCGGCATGCGAATTAGGACAATGCAGAGTGGAGCCATTGTTTATATACTGACGAAACAAGATTTAATTTAATTCAATTCGACGGCCGAATCTTAGTTTGAAGAGGGCCAAATCAACGGTATCCCTATCCACACATACCTAATCTTTGTTATTACAGTACACCATGTTTTTTAGGGATTGTAGAAACCTTTAAATTAGGTTTAGAATTAGAAATTTTATAAGAAATAACTTTTGGCCGTTGTTAACCAATCTTGTATATTGTAGAATATAATGTAATAAGCTTGTTCTGGCTGCTACGTTTTTGTCTATTATCGACACGGTATACTGTATAAATTTTAACCCTCAAATAAATTGCTTAGACCATAGAAAATCTACGTGAAATGAGGATTCCAAATCCGGAAAAATCATCAAGAACCGTCAATCCAATGTCAAGTTATAGCATTTTAAAAATTTTACTACGCAAATTTTATTTACTACTATTACTAATTCTGTAGTATACACTACAGAATTATTATTCTAAATGGTACAGAGTTAAAAAAATATATATATAACAATACATGTATGTAGAATACCTATACACAAAAATATCACATTCACAAAATCGCATACATAGAAATCGGTTTAAATATTAAAGCTAAAAAAAAAAAAAAAACAAAAAAAATTTATTTTGACCGTTGTTTCAAATTACTCTTTAGCGCATACAACGTTGTGTTAAATAGGTCACAGTCGGAGTAAAGCTTATTGTAAATGTGGCACATACGGTCAATAAATGCTCTTTGTCCATAGTTGGTTTTATGTCTTCTGATGAAAAACAATGAAGTATGACGTGTACGTCGAGTAGGTGCCAAGAAGCTAATTAAGTGTAAAAGGGCGCTACAGTCAATCTTACCGTTAATTAATTTAGACAGAAACAGAACTAGTGCATGTCTTATTCTGATTTCTAGGCTTTGCATACCACATAAAAGCAGTCTACTTTCGTAACCAACGTTTTGGTAGGGAAAGTGGTGTTTAAACAGCAAATAGTGAATTTACGCTGAACTCGTTCTATCCTCTCTATGTGGCAGGGGTAATTAGGATTCCATACAACAGAGCAATATTCAAGAATGCTTCTAACAAGGCTGTTAAATAATGTTAAGATTGCTTTAGTATCATACATATGTTGAGTATTTCTTTTAATAAAGCCTAGCATCCGGAAAGCTTTACAGATAATGGAATCAATATGTTCTCGAAAGGACAGTTCCATATCAAATATCACCCCTAGATCATTCACAGATGTGACATTTTGCAGTACAGTATTACCGATTTTGTATTGATTTAGAGAAGGGGTTAACGCTCTAGTGAACTGGATGGTCTTGCATTTACTGGTATTTAATGAGAGATGGTTCACCTTGCACCACTCGTTTAGTCTCTCTAGATCACCTTGAAGGGTAGTAGTGTTATGTGTGACTGGGCTAAAAAATTTCAAGTCATCTGCATATAGAAGACAAGTACTATTTAAAAAGCAGGAAGTTACGTCGTTAATAAAAAGTGAGAACAGGACAGGACCAAGGTGTGAGCCTTGCGGAACGCCTGATGAAACTGATACTTTCAGTGATGTAAAATTATGAATAGAAACTTGTTGGGAGCGATTAGTTAGGAATGATTTTATCCAATTGAGATAGTTACAATAGCAATACCTATTTCGGAGAGTTTTTTTAAAAGCAGTTGATGAGAGACACTATCAAAGATCAGTATAAATTGCATCCACCTGGTGCCCAGCTTCTACAGAGGTTAATAGATAGTCCTGGAAACAACAAAGGTTAGTAGCGGTAGAACGCCCCTGATAAAAACCATGCTGAAAGGGGGAGATATAAGATTTGAAGGAAGCAGCTATTTCATCAGTAAGAATTGATTAAAATAATTTGGGAATTGTGGATATAATAGATATACCCCTATAGTTTTTTATATTAGATTTATCACCTGACTTTAGAATTGGAATTAGACTGGAAAATTTCCATATATCTGGAAAAATACCCTGAAAAAAGGATTTCTGGAAAATTTGACTAAGGGGAACAGACAACGCATCACAGCATTTCCTCAACAAAATCGGAGGGATGCCATCAGGGCCCGCACTTTTATTGAGATCAAGACTGTTAATTTTAGAAATAACTTCCTGGGGAGTAAATGTATGAGTACTTAAAGTTGAAGCAAAAGTTACTGGAGTGGGAAGTGCGGAATTTGCGACGTTGACAGTATTGTAGCAAGATTGGAAGTAATGTGCAAAAGCATTGGCTATTTCGTTAGGATTAGTAAATTCAATATTGTTGTATACCATTGATTAGGGAGACCGTTATCACGTTTTAGATTCCTTATGAATGTCCAGAAATGCTTAATATTTTGAGGAAAAAGATGTTCTGTGTTGGTAATGAATGTCAAGTAATTCTATTCAGTGTAGTATTTAACTTCACGTCGCTTATTGGAATACAAAATGTAATCAGAATACCGACGAGTTCTTTTAAAAGTTTTATAAAGCTTATTTTTTTCGGTCATAAGTTTGCGAAGCGTAAAGTCGAACCAGATGGGATACTTATTACCACGAATTTTTCTTTTAGGCACGTAAAGATTAATACCTTCACATATGATACGATTGAATCGTTCAACTATTTTGTGAATATTAACTAAATCGCTGACAAAAGACCAGTCAATCCTATTAAAGTAATTATTTAGAGCTATAAAGTTAGCTTTGTGAAATTGATATCTAAAGACAATTTTGTTGTTGCGGAGAATTGGTGTTACTTTATTAAAAACTTGTATTTGCAGCGGAGGATGCAAAGGATCCACCTTGGATAGAAAAAAATCTGATTTTACACATGTTACAGATTCAAACTCACTTACAAATATTAAATCGAGGATACGTTTATCAGAGTTGAGTACATCGTTAATCTGATTAAGTTCATTTAAACACATACAATCAACAGCTTCGGCCTTCGCTGGTTGTATTAGTTTAGGTAGGACTATATCAAATTCTCGTTCCCAACCGAAATGGGGTAGATTGAAATCTCCTTCTATGACAAACTTATAATTTTTGTATTTTTCCATTATCAATTCACATTGTTTACAAAGAGATATGTATGAGTCTAAAGATGCATTTGGAGAAATGTAAATAATTCCAAATATTAAGTAGGTGTTTTCAATTTTAATTTTAATCCAAATATCTTCAAATAAATTGGATGGTTGAGAGGGAATGATATTAGACTGAATTTGAGATGATACAGCAATTAGTACACCACCACCACGTGAGCAATCAAGAGAGTCATATTCTCTGTCTCTCCTATAAACTGTGTAGTCATTTTCATTAAAAAATTCGGAGCTATGGAATGAGTTATTTAACCATGTTTCCGTTAACATAAACAGGTCAAAGTTGTATGAAAGAGAATTAGTTAATAACTGTATAGATTTTGTTCTGATTCCTCTGACGTTTTGATTATGTTCAGTAGTGTGTACAACACCTAAGGGCCTTAATCCAAAAACTGACAAAAATATCTAGAGATATTGATGTTACCTTAGTAACGAACCATATTGCATCGACCAAAAAAATTTTTTGCGGAAATTTCATTCGTACAAACTTTTTGATTTTTTGCGTGACTTCTTTGATCACCCCGTATATAATAAACCTATGATCCTACGATAAATATACGTCATGCAGCTTAATCCGAAAGAACTAGCTATTAAAATCTGCAAGCCGCGTTTAAAAATTTGCATTCCTGTTGGAAATATTGAACTCAAAATTTTGCCTAAAAATCTCTATGTGTAAGTTCGAGTGGCCAGCAGTTTACATGCGTGTGATATCGTTCGAACTATCCATCTATATCTTAAATCACTTACCAACAGTACTAACAGTTGTTGACGCTGCAGCGGTAGATGGTGGTGATGATATTGAGGTACTAACTGTGGTGCTTGGTGTTTCTGATTTGGAAACACTCATCTGACCCATAACTGGCATATTACTTTCACCTAGTCCCATATTTGGGGATAAATTTGGTGATACTTGCCATGAAACTTGTACAGGTTGCAAATTTGCATTTATGGCAAAATTTGGTTGACTAAACCCCGATGGGTTAGAGGCTGCTGTTGGATTTACGTTAAAATTATTCATATTCATATTTGATACTGTCGGCGTATTGAAGTTTGATTGATCGTTGTATGCTGAAGTTGGTGGAATAGTTGCGGCTTCTTGAGAAGAGGCTTCTGATGGAGGATTTAGATTTAATGATTTTAGAGTATCCAATATCATTTCAGTTTCTTTTTGACAGTTCGTCTCGTTGGAGTCGATTTTTGCTTCTTTTTTCATCATAATAAGTGGGTTGAAGTCTATATACTAAAATTTAGAACTCGTTAAAAAGCACACCTACTTTGTATCTGAAATTTAAGGCTTAACGGTAGAATTAATTCATTATCATTGAACTCAAGACTTACTGCTTTGGCTACATTATAGACAACAAAAATAATAAGTGCTTATATTTTATGTGGTGGCTCAAAGCTCAAAGCAGAAAGCAGCCCTTTAAAGGATATTTTAAATAGGTAAAAAAATATTTTATAGATTTTAGGGTGATTCTGTCAACAAGGAAGAAGTGACACAAGTTTTGTGGAAGTTAAAAAAGGGTAAACCGATGGTGGCTTTTATAGATTTTTGAAAATGTCTGGAAACTTGTAATAGATAGGCTTGTTAAGCTGTTCAATATAATTTGGGAGACCAAAAAATGCTTACTTATTGTGATTGGAGAAATTGGCGAAGAAATAACTTTTCTTGGGAAGGAACTTCTACCTTGCTACGTGCAGATCGGATATACCTTAGTACCATGGGGAACTAAGCTCCCCAAAAAACTCTTTTCTGCCGTCAATTTACAAAAAAAAAAGTAAAGTTGTGTCTTAAAACGAAGTTGTTGGAGAGGATAATTAATAGTGGAGTTAAATATAAAATATTCACACAGTTTTTGTCTGGAAGACGCTACCTAGGTACTGTGTTACTACGAAGCATTAACATGATTGATTTTCTTTACATTTAAAGAAGAAAATCGAAGGGCTTTTAAAGGGGAGAGATAATTTCTATGTTCGCGGGTCTACCAGTAGTATTAACCTATTTGAGCTAAAGAATAAACAAGAAAAATCTTGAAATTTTAACTCCCTGTAGATCGGTAACGAAGCGTTTGCGGACCTATGTTTATATGAACTTTTAGTCATAAAATAAGCTAAAGAATTACTCTCTTCTGTATGTGTACGATGTTTGGGAATACCCCGTATTTTGGATATTTTTCGCTATTTACGTATTTTCTTTTCAGATGAGAATCATTCCTCATTGAAATAATTATTGAACTAAAATTAAACATAAATATTCACCGCTATATTTTGTGATAGTGCCACGGCCCTTTGGCACCTTAGGGCAAGTCGCCACTGATTGAAATACAAATGTATCCGAAAAGCACTGCTAGTAAGTAGAGAATCAAAAATTAAAAAAAAAAAACATTTTCTTATGGCGGGGCATTGTTCCTTAACTATAAAACTGAATAAACAAGCAATCTCTTCTTATAACTTTGTACGAGTAACAATTTCTCAAAAACTAAAAGTTTATTAATTTTGAAGAATTATTTTCCATTTTCGGATAATTTTCCTTAAAAATGGCAACAGAGGAAGGTTTTTTGTGTCACTGAAAGTAAGGAATCATGGTTTGCTAAAAAAATGTCAAAATATCGCACACAATTATTCCCTATTTTGTACACCCTGATTAATATACAGGGTGGCTCACGCTCAACGGGACGGAGCTTTATGGGAAAACGACCAAAGATATAAAAAATTCGTTTGGGAGGAATACGTAGGTTACAGACGGCTACAATTTAAAATTTGTTAGATGTATACAGGATGTCCCACATAAGAGAAAATATATAAAGTTATATTATTTTTAATGGAACACCCTGTTTTTTATTTTAGAATTAAAAACTACATCAAAAATAATGTCAGTTAACTAAAGGTTCCCTATTACTATTATTATTAGTTTTCGATTTATTTGAATTTTTAAGGAAAAAAAGTCTCCCAGAAATTAATTGTTTACTCTTGTTTGAATAATTTTTAATGAACTAATTTTTTTTTTTCTTATGTGGGACATCCTGTATACATCTAACAAATTTTAAATTGTAGCCGTCTGTAATCTACGTATTCCTCCCAAACGAATTTTTTATATCTGGTCGTTTTCCCATAAAGCTCCGTCCCGTTGAGCGTGAGCCACCCTGTATATCTGAAAGGGTGTAAAAAAAATAAACAATCCTTTGATGCAATAAATATCTCGTTTTAACAGATATTTTCGAACCAATCTTTACTCATTTGTTTGCTCGATATAAAATTTTTAAGTCAGTCCTGTCCAAGTAGGCAACATTATGCATAGGTGTCCTGACCTAGTACATACATTAAAAAAGGCCAGTCTAAAAGCTATTGTAGAGGGCTTAATTGAAAGGCAAGTAAAGTCGTTACCTAAATCATTATATCAATGGATGTCACTGCCTAACTTTTACTTTATGATTATTATCCTACGATTAGACCAGGAGATAGTGATAGATTTTGAGATGCGATTTAGACTAGTATGCCTTTTGGAGGGTAGTATAATATGAACAATCCGATGATAAAAATCGATTAGTTAAGGTGTCATCGTGTGTTCTTCAGACATAAAAATCTGATGTGTCCAACCGGTTATTTTGTACAACCGATTGCGGTACCTCTATAAATGTTTAGAGGATAAACTAAATATATACATTTTCCACATACATCTAACTCGAAACGTTTTTCTATAATATATATTCCATAAAATATAAAAACGACCTCCCATAAAGTACTCCCCAGATGTTCCGACTTCGTCCAAAATCTAATCATTTCACCTCAGGCCGAAATAAAACTTAAGTTTAAAATTTAATGTTTTTTCCTTCATCCGTTTCTGAGTTTTCTTCAAAATTCGAAATTTACACTTTTTCTCAAATTCTTCGAATACGGTTTATTTTAGAGAAATTATGTAAGGGATAAAAATTATAGAAAATTATATTACAAACAACTTTTATAAAAACAATTTTTATAAAAAATAATTTTTTTTACATTTTGTAAAATTTCTCGAATACGGACCATTTTATGTGTACACACACGCACACGCACACGCACACGCACACGCACACGCACACGCACACGCACACGCACACGCACACGCGGTTTTCGGCATGATTAGTTGGAAACCTAGGGCCAACTTTCATTTAGTCGAAATCAGTTACGTAAAAATTGTTGCCATGGCAACCGCTGCCATGGTAACCAGTAAACAAAAAACCCAAATCTCGTGGTGAGGAAATGCATAGTTGCCATGTTATAGATTATTTAATGTTCACTTTAGTTTAGACGAAATCAGTTATGCTAAAACTGTTGCCATGGGGACGCTTGACATAGTAACGACTAAACAAAAAGCCAATTCTTATCGTAAGGGAATGCGTGGTTGCCAAGTTATAGATGAGTTAATTTAGCTGTAATCAGTTACGGATAAACTCTTGCCATAGAGACACTTGTCATGATAACGACTAAACAAAAACACAAATATTGTGGTAATAAAATGCATAGTTGGCAAGTTACAGGTCATTTAATGTTTACTTTAGTTTAGCTTAAATCGGTTATGGAGATGTCGTGATGTCGACTAAACAAAAACCTAAATCTAGTAGTGAGGAAATGCGTAGTTGCCCTTATATTTAGATTAACTCTTAACACAATATTCTAATCTAAACTAAAGTAAAAATGAAACCATGTATAACTTGGCAACTAGGCATTTTCTCACTACGGGATTTGTTTAGTCATTAGCATGACAAACGTTTCCATGACAACTGTTTCTCTATAAGATCACGCTACGCTCCTTCCACCCACAACCTAACTACTACAGAAGAAAGGGAGCGAAGTGAGCGCGCCCGGCCGACGTTTAGAAATTCGCGCGCGCGAATTTCTAAACGTCGGCCGGGCGCGCTCTTTTTTCACCTACATCATAAGATCACGCTACGCTCGTTCCACCCACCTACTAATCACTACTTGGTAACTACGCATTTCCTCACCACCAGATTTGGGTTTTTGTTTAGTCGTTAGCATAATTAGCGTTTCCATGGCAACAGTTTCTGATTTCGGGTAAACGAAAGTTGAGCCAATCTATAACTTGGCAACTACGCATTTCCTCACTGCCAGATTTAGATTTTTGTTTAGTCCTTAGCATGGTACATTGTGAAATGATCTTGATGATGCCTTTTCATATTTCTCTTTAAAACTTGCACAAACTCTCACCATTGTTAAAATTTGTATCACTAAAGTAATATACAAAAAATCACTTGTAAACTGCAAAGATAAGTTAGAAATTAATGAACATCAAAAATCAAATGACAGTTCTGACAATTTCAAACGATTTGACATGCCAAGCAAAACTAACAGACCAATGGGAATGCTGGACCCTTTTTTCCCCCTGTACCAAAACAAAGTCAATTTGGACGATGACTCCAGTAATATCTGCTTGAAGATTAGCTTTGGTTTATTTTGAAAAACTTGACTAATCAATCTTTATAACTATCTATAACATTGACCCTGTCAAACAGTGTTGCCAAATTAACCTAGAGCAACCATTTTGTTTGGAATGCCTAATACTGGCCATTTCACACCTATTCCAAAATGGCCGAACACAACCTACGTCATAAAATGCATGTTACATTAATTTTTCGCATGATGAAGTCACATAACCCGAATTATAGAGCAAACGACATACTAATTTTAAACATGGCAATTTTTTCTACAAATTCGCAATTTTTTTCACGAAATTGCATACGTAAAACCCGCACAATTTGAATGCCATCAATTATTTCATTTAATTATGTCATGATTGCATCAACAATGAAATGTCACACTGATTAAATGCACAGAAAATTGATTTTTTATTTTACAAATTGATATTCGTTATTTATTACATCGAACCTGTTGAAATTTTATGCCATTCTGTATGTTGACCTTTAGGGATACATACTTTTTTATCGTATCAATTTGGTGTTGTTTTAAATGACTGAAAATTATTGCATAACATTGCCAAATGTCCATGGTATCTAAATGTTTGCTTTATGAGATATACATAGACATGCGCAAACGGTATGCCATCTTACCTGTAGCAGTTTTATGGTAAAATCATGTATATTATTTAATGGCAGCTTGTTTAAGAACTTGGATAAATCGTTTTTTATCATGCAAATATACCCGAGCATGCCCACCTGATATGTTCACAACTAACGTATGCCAATGGTTATTCAAATAGCACTATGGTCCGGGAGGTAACGACAGATTTTAATAAACCATTTTCGCAAGCTTTATTTTTTGAATACGAGTTATTTAAATAGCATCTAACAGTAAAATCATCGTCTTCCATTCCAGTTGTACGACAGGGGGTTGCGGGAGGGTTGCAATTCCAGTAAAAAAATTATAGAAAAAAATCATTTTCGCATGGATGAAACTTGGTGTACCCGTTGATATGAACATAAAAATATTAGAAAATGTCGTCTTCCACCTGAATTGTACAACAAAGTACGTCTTCCATCCACATAATAGGCGTAAAAAAATAAAAAAAAAAAATTATAGTCGCAAATGTGAAACCGAGTATGATGCTTATTTTTATAGTAAGAAAAATAAAAATAATAGTCTTCCACCAATAAAACACAACGAAGGTCGTCTTCCAAGCTGATAAAGGTGTTCTCGACATGCCGCGTGGTAACAGTTAGAACGTAGAATATCTTTACGTTTTCGAAAGATGATCATTGGTGTAAAATTTTAAAAGAACTATTATGAAGATAATATTTATGTTATAAATTATTCATTCAATTACAATAACTGCAGATTTTACCGTGAAAATCGAAATTTTAGTAAATAGATGAAATATAATAAAATTATGTTGTAGATTTAAAAGTATGCAATACATTAAATTATTTGCAATATAGTTTATAGATAAGTTTGAATGGAGTATTTATAATTGCTCTAGTTAAAGTTAGTAAATTTAAAAGCACAAAATATATGTATTTTATTGGAATTTTTATAGATCTTCTTATCAATTTTTTTTAACAAATTACCTAATAATAAAATTAAGACTAAAATGAAAACACCGGATACATATAATTGCAACAGGAAGAGAATAAAATTTAAATGTTTTTCAAATTTTAAGAAAAAAGGAACAAAATTCAAACAGTATTAGGTACTATCATGACAGAGATAAACCTAGTTTTTAATTTAACACATACTCATATACCTTCTTTTAAATTTAATTTTATTAAAATACAAAAAAATATACATCAAATCTCAAATCATTCTTTGGTCATATAAGATATTATTAAAAAAATTTATTAATTACATTTTTTTTGCAAAATAACTACCTCTTTAAAGAAAAATATTAAAAATAGAACACAATGAAGAATTTATAAAATTCTTCTAATAAATTTCAAAATATATTGATCTTTCATTTTTTCAAAAAGCAAATATATTGTACTTTGTAGTACAAATGAAATGAAATAGCTAAGCACTAGTTCCAGATATTATTGGCTAGAATGGCTAATGATATTGAAAATTTAATTAATAACGGTCAAACACGCTTAAAGAATAAATAGGATCGAAATCCACCAGTAGTAAAATTTGATTTGACACCCACTTCAACAAAACTCTTTGAACACATACATTTAGATATATTTTCTAGTAAATCATATTTGACTATAATTGATTCTTTTTCGCGATATGGTCAGGCTTATTCCCTAGATTGTATAACAGGGATATCAGTCATAGAAAAACTCCTTTTCACATTTCACATTACGGACTACCACAAAAAATTACTACCGACAGTGGAACAGAATTAAAGAATTTCGATTTAGAAGATTTTTGTAAACTACACCATATCACTACAGGAAAAAAAATAATAATTCAAATTCCACAGTGGAACGGTTTCATTCAAGTCTATTAGAACATTATAGATGTTTACAAGAAGAAAACAAACATTTCACACCAGATCGACTGATTAAAAAATCTGTATTTTGTTATAACATTCAGTGACAAAGTTCACGCCATTTGAAATAATTAAAGGACACATTGATAATCCAAATCCCTTTGATTTAGATGATCACTTAATCATTTCTAATTATGTACAAGATCATAAACAAATTAGTAAACAGATGTATAACAAAATTAAACAACGTAACGAAGAAGTCAAAGAAAATTAAATAAACAAATTAAATGAAAAGAGATCTGAACTAGATAACTATTCCAATCAAAAAAATATTATCAGTGAAACAAATCTTTAAATTTCGTCTTTAATCATTATAATAAATCAATCACAATCTTAAGCATAATTCAAGAAGTTGATATGTAAACAATTCAAGCAGCTATTTATAATAGAATCGATACACTTGAAAGTTATATTAGTTTTCAGGCTATTATATCACAAATTGATTTAGATTGTCAAATGGCAATTTATTTTATAGATAATTTAGAAAATGCCATAACCTTTGCAAAATTTGCAAAAAACATTATAAAATATTTATAAAATATATAATGTTGATCAAATTCCGAGATTTACAAATTTATTAACGTATTATCAGTTCTTAGGAACGCAAGTATCAATTTTAAAATCTAAGTTAATTTTTGCGATACATTTTTAACAGCAATACCTTTGAATTTTATCATTTATTCCCAATTATGCAAAACCAAAAAATGTATACACCTTTATTCCCCTATTTGGCACGAAAACATCAAGATATACAGTTTGAACGAGAAGGATGTCCATCCCTTGAAGAAATATATTATTGTCTACAGAATTTCATCCCCAATAGTACTCACCAACTTCTTGAAAGAAAAACTTTGACAAATTGTAATATTTTAAATGTTGATTTAGAAGAATCAGTATTCGAACAAATCGCAGTCGATGAAGTCTTAATAATCCCGTCAAAACCTGAACAAATTCCTTCAAAATGTAACAGTAACTAGTATATATACATAAGGTGACCTGTATTAATCAAAATACCAAAATCTTGTGAAATTTGGACCAATGAAAGAAGCTATATCAACAACATTCAATTGAGCAGGAAAGCCTTTCATTCTACCAAAGCTTGACATGAAGAAAATTTCAAAATTTCAAAATCTTATCAAACTTCTAATACCTATACTAAATTAGAGTTTAATGATTTATATGAAATTAATCAAATTTATAAACAATTAGGGGCAATTTTTGCAATTTTTATTTGCATAATTATTTTAATACTAATTAAATACAGAAGACAACTTTTAAGAAGATATAGAAGAAAAACAAACGAAGAAATTGAATTAGAAAATCCCACAGAAGATGTTTTGAAAAATAACTCCATAGTTTTTAAAACTTAAGCAGGGAGGAGTTATACAGGGTGTCGAAATTATCCTAAAATAGGAATAAAAGTTCATATAAACATAGGTCTGAAAACGTTTCGTTTTTGAGACAAGTGAAGACCTGATGGCACATTTTTGTAAATATTTTTTAAAATTTGTTTAGTCATCGGTTTTCCAAAGTAAAAAAAATAAAATTTCTGATTTCACAGGCCTACTAATTATTGTTTACACTTTCAAATAACTTATCATGAAATTTTCAAATGCTTTTTTCTTGAAAATGATTCGTCTTAGCGAGATGCAACAAAAGTAGCTTTATTATAAAGAAAACATTGGTTTTCCAAATTTTATAGTTTAAAATGTTAAAAACTGTCAACAAAAAAAACTTAGGGTAATTTTACCCTAAGCCCCCCCTAATTTACCCACCTATGAAAATGATCAAAAACTAGGGTTTAGTCCGTTAAATGGAGCGTAAAAAGGTAAGCATTTGTACCAAATTTCATTTAGTTATCTTTAAACGTTTAGAAAATATTTATAAAAGAGTGTCATCAGGACTTCACTTTTAACACCCTGTATCTCGGAAAAGAAACGTTTTCGGACCTATGTTTATATAAACTTTTACTCCTATTTTAGGATGTAGATTATGCTGTTAAAATATGACCGTCTAATTTCGGGACACCCTGTATATTGTGAATATAATAAGACTCTTTTATGTTATAATTAAATTATCTTTGCTAAATAATCATTTTTAGTTTATAAATAGGAGTAAAAACTTATTATTATTATTGTTATTTGAGGTAGCTTTAGTGTAGGCATTAGTTCAGAGTTGTCTTAAATAACTATTTAAGTGTATTTTTGCTTAATAAATTTTTTAAAAATCAAAGTTCTGTTTTGGATTTATAACTAGCATGTTCCGTATGTGACGCGCACCTTTATCAGCTTGGAAGACGACCTTTGTTGTATTGTATCGATGGAAGACTATTAGTTTTAGCTTTCTTATTATAAAAATAAGCATCACACTTAATTTCAGCTTTGGGAATATAATTTTATTTTTCATTTTTTTTTTGCTTATTTAAGTGGGTGGAAGACGTATTTTGTCGTGAAATTCAGCTAGAAGACGATATTTTCTAAATTTTATTTCTTTAAATTAACGTATACAACAAGTTTCATGCATGCGAAAATGATTTTTTTTTTATAAATTTTTTACTGTAATTGCAACCCTCCTGCAACTCCCTGTCGTACGGGTGCGTCGGAAGACGTTCATATTAGAGTTACATATTACTTGCATAACTCATACAAAGAATTTTAAACTTGCGAAAATGACCCGAAAATTTCTGTCGTTACCTCCCGGTCTATTTTAAGGCAAGTGGCAGCCTGAGTAATATTATATAAAAATGCTTAATTTTCTAAAAAATTAAAACTCATTTTTATGCGTGAAGAACACACGATGACACTCTAATCATTCGATTATTATCATCGAATTGTTCATATTATACTATCCTCCAAAAGGCATACTGGCCTAAATCGCGTCCCAAAATGTTTATATCTTTTTGCCTTAAAAAAGAAACATGTTATAAAAAAAAAATAGAAAATACTTACTTTTCTGTTAATATTTAAAAGAGGATCCTCGATAGTTATAGATTCAATTTCATTTAAAGCACTATTCGTGTATGTAAAAGTATCTATTAAATCTGTCTCTTCGAAAATGCTGCGTTTAGCTTTCGTTGCAAGTTGCTGCGGCTTTTCATTTTCATTAATTGGATAAATCAAAACGCCTGGAATCATGTGCTTGTCCCCGGTTGTTGTAGTTGTAATATTCTGTGACATACTTGAGGTTTTATTCGAAGATGTCATATTAAATGTGAGAGTGCTGTTATCGCTTTTCGCCGCTCCTACAATGTTAGCGCTTTTCATTTCAGATGGACCTGTGTCGCTAGTTTTATTTAAACCAATTGGACCTTTTGTATTATTTGTGCATATTTCGGTGGTTTTTAAATCAGTAACCCCAGTGTTAATAATTGTTACAGTAGAAATATTCATCGTACTTTTTATATCAACACTTCCAGTGTTATTGTTCAAGGTGGAAATATTTGAGTTATTTTTTATTTCAATTGTTGTGGTGTTGTTATCAATTTTAACAGTAGAAGTGTTTGAATTATTTTTATTATCGTTATTTGTTTCCGTCGACTTTTCGAATACAAACATTTCTCCTAAATTTGTATTTTCAGTAGGCATTGCTTCGCTTGGCACTAAAGTTTCATTTATCTTTAAAATTGTTTCATTACTAGAATGATTTCGACCAGATCCGGTTGTATTAGACAATAAAGCAGTAACTGGAATGCAAGTGGTTCCCAAATTTTCAGTTAATTGCAACTTTATAGGTTCTTCTGTAGTAGTATCGTTAGCTGTACGCTTATCGGGATTCCTCCCCACATCACTTTCCTCAAATTCTTCATATTCTTCACTGTCTACATCTTTTTTTAATCTGTTAACTGACTGCAGATTTGGTATAGTCTCGTTATTTTGTAAGTCTCTCTTTAGATTTGGTATTTTAAAAAGTATTTCTTCAGACATATTTCTCAATTCACTTATAATCAAAGGTGTACTAGATTCACAATTATTTGCACCTCTAACATTTCTCTTCCTGCATCCTGCTGAATCTTTTAGTATTTTAGCTGTTTGGTTAATTGTTCTTTTAAAATCAGGCAGTTTAAAATAAATATCTTCTGAAATATTTCGTCTTCCAATAACGATAAATGGAGTACTCGAACCCGATGAGTCTTTATTAAGTACAGCATTCTGTATGGGACTAACTGTAGCTGTTGAAGGGTTACCAGAAATATTAGTTTGTAACGGTATAATAGGTGCAGGTGAATTAATAGCTAATCCTGAAGGAGAAACTGCTGGTGCTGGAGGAGAAAGCACCGGTACTGGAGGAGAAATAGCTGATGCTGGAGGAGTAACAGCTACTGCTGATAGTGGAGCAGCTGATATACTTGATAGAGGAACACAAGAAGCTGACGGTGAAGGTACAGATGTAGAAGGAATGCAAGAAACTGGCGGTGAAGGTACAAGTGTAGAAGGAATGCAAGAAACAGATATTTTTGGTACATTATCTTCTCTTTTTACTGGAAGAGTAAATACTTGATACATATTATCGGTATCACTTGCTTTATCCGATTGTTCTGTAAATGTTTCATTTATCATATTTACGGTGTCTGTTGTTTTTTCTGTTGGATTTGTAAAGGTTTCAGAAATGATACTGCTGGTGTCGCTTGTCTTGTCGTTTTCTTCAGAAGTACTATTATCGTTGTTACTTATCGTGTCGTCCTGTCTTGTTGGTTCTACAACATTTTTCAAGTGAGATGTGTTTGAAATAGGAATTTGTTGTGAATACAAGTGTGGAGTAAAATAATATTCTTGTTTATTTATGTCTCGAGGCAATTCAGAAAAAATATACTGCACGATGTCAGATATATTAGATACATTAGGGTTTGGTGGTGATAATAATAATTGGGAAGAATTTCTTTGATATGTTGCTCTATTTTGTATAGACGCAAATGGGCTAAAATCTCGTTGTTCCGTCGTTATTATCGGTATTTCTGTTGGAGATAATACACCCCTTTTCGATGCTGTTGAAGATGGAATTTCTGAAGATTCTACTTCTTGATTTGAACATTCAGCGCAAGATATTTTTGCAAGTTGTTCAGCGGATAATGTTGTCGATTGATTATTATTTATAGAACCAGTCATCTGACCTTCATTTTTATCTTGAGTAATTTTCGAGAATACTATTGGTACATATGTATACTTATCCAAAAATATCTTATTTTTAACTATAAAATCAATAATACTTTTAAACCTAGGATCGTCTTCAACGTTTCGTTTTGCTAAAGAATTGTTAATTCTTTTCCTTTTATTCCGAAAATTTAGGTATGTCGAATGTCTGCGACGTCTTCTGTGGTTTCTTATAAATTTTCGGAAGCAAATTTTACCTTCCGGTTTGTCAATTAGATCTTTTTGTGAATTATCCGGTTGTTGTTTTAAAACGCATTTGATGGTTTTCCAAGTGGTATTTATGTCTCTGGTTGGTTGTCCTTCGACCAATTCTTTCAGCATGTCATTTATGATAGGAATTTCTTGAAATAATTGAAACAGGATATTACAACTGTTAGAGTCTGAAAAATATAAATATTTGTTAGTTGAAAACGAACCTATCCAACTAAATTAACTTTTTAAATCAGAAACTATGTACAATGTCTTAATGTCTTGAAAATTCGTACGTTTGCTTATTGGAGGTATAAATGGGTATAGGTACAATTGCTCTAAAGGAGAATATAACAATAAGGCATTTAAAAATAGGGTCCTAATTAAATTTGATGAAACAAGTATGGTATAAAAAGTCTGCTGAATCGTAAGTCGTCTATATTTTTTCTTTACATCTTTATCGATTATAAGCAGATATAGATATAGCCCAGAACACTGCAGCTTCTTAGGTCCTTTGTATTCCCCAGCCGTTTTCGTATTTATGTATTATCTGAATAGTTATGTGCCAACGACGAAAAATTACTAGCATAATCCATTCATCCATAACTAAGCCCTTTTTATTGCAATCATTCAGATTGTGTTTATTATTACTAAGATAAAGCTGTCGCATTGACTGCCGCATTAGAGAGAAGGGGACAATGCCTAATTTGAGTGGGGATGGTTGGCGCGAGTATGTTTATCTGAGAAGCGTGCATGCGTTTTATGAATGAATCAGTAATTACGTCTGTTAAGTTTGCTAACTGCTGTTACACTTCAAAATTAATTGCGTACTTGAAAAACATTATGCAACTTTATTAGTTGCAACGAGAAAAACTGCAATAAATTGATAATAACTGGCATGAAGAATACACATATACCTACATCCCTTGTGTAATTTTAAAAGCCTTTAGTATGCTTTAGAGCTTTATTAGTCAATACTGAATTATAACCATAAACAAACCTTGTAACAATACTATCCCATACTCGCTCATAATAATTTAACAACTACGTGAATTATACCGTGAATGTTTGCAATTCGATTTTTTAAACAATACTAGTCAAGCAGTTTTTCATCGTTGTTCTGTGCCTTTGGTGAGTTTTACTATTTTTTATTTTATTTAAAACATTTATTCAATTATTAAAATATTTACAAAAGTATACAACTTAACATAAAATATAAAACACAACTCCAAATGTTGTTGTGCCGGCCTGCAGGTACCCGCTTGGCCAATGACGATAACTTCGCCTATAATATGTTACAGTCATTTTCTGTTGTGATTTTACTAAATATAGCAGCCCTTACTCCTTGCCAAAAAGGCATTATTAAGGGATTTTGGGTATTATGGAATCGAGAATTGTCAGCGTTAAAAAATTTGGTTGGTCTTAGTTGTTATTGTCCCCTTAAAAAGCTAGTAAAAAACAGGGTTGTCATTGCTTGTAAGTGGTCTTGTATATAGTCTATGTAGTGTGTCACAATTCTCAGGACAAGTGGGCGAAAAACCCTTTGAAAGAGCCACAGTCGAGAGTGTAAAGAGTCGAGAGTAAATGTCGATTGGTTCAGCGCTCAGTCATCCGTCCGACTAGATCGTGTAAATATCCATGCCGTGAGAATTGTTTGTGAGAATTTGTCACTGTGAATGGTCCTGTTATTGTCTTTTGTATATATTTAGGTTTTGATGTATGCATCCGTGCTTTCTTCGCACGTTGTCTCCCCGATGTATGTTAATGATGCTGTCCCTCAACTCATCAGGGAGGCATCGCGCGTATAAATTCTCAGATGTCAATTTAATGAAGTCCTTTATGTATGGTAGTTTGGTCGTCCCGTGCATGTCTAGTATTCTAGTGTAGCGGTTACCCCCTAATGCTAGCCTTAAACATCTGTTCTGTGCCCTTTGCAGTTTGTTAAAATGTGTTTGAGCCATGGAACAGAAACTGGACAACCATAAGTTAAAATGGGTCTGAATATGATTTATATAATAATACCTTATTTTCAAGCTTGACTCTACTTAGCCTGTTCATTATGGGGTACAGAGTCCGTAGAATCCCGTAATTTTTGTTTATTCGGTCTTTAATATGCTGATGAAACGGCGACCCCCTATCTAGCTGAAATCCGAGGTATTTAATTGTGTTCTTAGCCAGGATTTGTTCATTTTGTATGCTAAGTGGCGTGGTTATGCCTTGGGTCCACCTATTAGTCAATACCATCGTTTCTGTCCTGTTTGAATTGATTTTGATTTTATTTTCTGGTAGATAGGTAGTCAACGGTCCATTTATATGGTTGTCCAGCTCTCTGGTGGCTATTTCTGCGGATTTGTTACTGTTGAACAGACAGATGTCATCGGCGTACAGCGCCGTTTGTACATCATTATCACCCATGAGTAAGTCACAGGTCATAATGGTGTACAAATGCGGCGAGAGTACTGAGCCTTGGGGGACTCCCACCATCGCTAGAAATGGTCCTGTTATTGTTGAATTTATTTTTATATAGAATTGTCTATTAGTCAAATATGATTGAATTATTTTTACAATATGCCCGGGAAAGTCATTCACAAGCATTTTGTGTATCAGCCCACGGGTCCAGACGGTGTCGAAGGCTTTTTCACTGTCTGAAGGTCGTTGTTAAAACTCTCCTTAGCATGATGTGCGATCCTTAAAATGTGTGCTACGGTGCTATGCCCTTCCCTAAAACCGTACTGTTCCCGTGGGATAATTTGTAAGCGTTGTTCGATTTTCTTAAGTCTCGTTAGTATTAATGTGTCGATTATTTTTGAAATTGTGTTTAGTAAGGAAATGGGGTGGTAACTATCGATTTTATTGACCGGTTTACTTGCCTTCAATATTGGTATAATATTTGCCATCTTCAGGCCACTATGATAGTGTTGTAGCCTGAAAATGACATTTACTATATGGTACAGCTGCACGATAGTTTTCTTGCTGAGGTTTTTTAATAAAATGTTACTGATGTCATCCGGTCCCGGAGCCTTTCTGTTTTTGAGACCCTTTATCACCTCACAACACCTCCTTAGGGGAGGTAAAAAAGGATTGTGGCACTAATTGTGGTTCTGACTACGCAAATGTGTTTGCTATTTGAGTTTTACTAGGTTCCTTACCAATTGTTCATGGTGATTTATTTCCGGTGCTAAAACGGAAAGGTTGTGTCGCCGTCTAGCAAGAGTATGGCATGGTATAAGGTTCCTTCGTCGTCTATAAAAAAGTTTACATATAAAGGTATTTCAGCAAACAGTGTGCCGTTAGTAATTCCACAATAGTGGATATTTGGGGCTTTGCGATTTGTATTACCTTAGCAGCCATGAGATTACTTATTCTGTGTCCTCTTATCTGATTATGCACCTATTTACTGCCTGTATAGCAAAGGTTTTGCTTATTTAAAATACAGGTTGGTCCTATGAATGATAGTTCAGATATCTCTTTAGCGAGTTATTTAGCGTTTTCATTTTTTTGGTTACCGTTAAGTCCTGGTATATATGATAGATTTAGATATATATTCATTCCTCAACGATACAAAAATGGGATGAATAATTTTCAGCAATTTTTTTTTAAATTTAATATCATACTATATCATTACTTTTTCTGTGAAATATTGTTTAGGTGTATGTCTACCACATACTTTGATTACTATACGAGGCAAGAGAGAGGTCCGACACGCCCAACATGGGGCGCGGCCATTTTGAACCCTGTGACACAGTTTACAGCTAAAGAATCAGATCGCTCACTCTGCGTCGGCACTTTTGATCTCAATGTTTCAGTTTATACACTGTGCAACTCGGATAATACAATATATGACAACCGCCTATAATAAAACAGCAGTCTTCTGCGTATCCTGAATTTGTATCCCTGGAGTGGATGTTATTTTGGAACTTTCAACTGGTCCGAGAGAGCTAACTGATTCTTTAGCAATAAACTTACAGCGGGTTGCAACAACGATCGTTAAATATCTAATGACTCGTTAAACCCAAATCTTTTACTAAAGGTGTAGTACGGGTTGCATTCTTCTGTTAATTTTTAACGACGACGTGAACTGGCAACGTCGCTTCCTGTGTCAGCTTTGCTCGTCTTTTACTTTGACAGATTGAAATCTTTACTGATTAATATTTTAGAATTTTTCAATTTTCCAGCCAATTTATGTGAGTGTCGAGAGGTACTTTGAATATATATTATAAAAGTTCAATTTGAGTTCGTTTAGTTGAAGTATTATAATGGTTGACAAAAAAAACGCAAGCAATTTACTGCTACAGATAGAAGAAAAACCACTTGGTAAGTAAATTAATAATAAGTACATAAAATTCCTTCAAAAACATTCACTTTATTACATACTTAATTTGTATTTCCAACTACATTTTTGGGGTTAAAATTTTAGGTAAATTGCTAAGAAGTTGTATTGGCCAAAATACTAATTAGGAATAACTAGCATTTATTAAATATAAAACTGATACCAGGAAATCTAGAAGTGAGATACAACAAAAAGAAAACTAAACTTTACAAGAGGTTAAATAGAAGGAGAGACAGGACAAGGTTCGTATTTTTTTGTATCATTCAAAGGACACTTATTATACATAACATTTGTATATTCATAATATTTGTACACCCACCCTTCTGGGACAGTAACATTAATATACTTACCTTCTATATAGTATAGAATATTGTGCCTTCTTAGTAATAAAAGAAAACATTTATTTGAAATCAAATTAAAAATTTATGCAGTAATATATTTAAAGTTAATTTTCTAAGCAAAGTACCTATAATAATGTTATTAAACAGAAATTTTATATTTTAAAAGATTAATTCATAGGATTTTAATTTAAACAGAAATTAAATCACTTTTATATATACAATATAAAACTTCTTTTGTATGTGTTATTATTTATACAATTTTAGCAATATCTGTCTTTTTCCATTTTAAAGATTATTCAAACTACTAAAGTTAAAAAAAAAATAAAATTGGAAATAACTAATGTTTAGTATTATTTTTCTTTATTTAAATTCTTTCCTTATTTGTTTAAGGGTGAAAAACGAGAAGGAGGCATGGTTAATCTTCAACTTTATGAGATGGGCTCAAATTAAAGCATTTTTTTATAATCAAATAGAGTCCCCATTGATTCCACTGCTGCATTCTTTGGTAAGAAAGTATTTT